TTTTTTTGCGGTATGTGGGCCTCTCACTGTTGTGGCCTCTCCCATTGCGGAGCACAGGCTCCAGACGTGCAGGCCCAGCAGCCGTGGCTCACGGGCCCAGCCGCTCCGCGGCATGTGGGATCCTCCCAGACCGGAACACGAACCCGCGTCCCCTGCATCGGCAGGCGGACTCTCAACCACTGTGCCACCAGGGAAGCCCACCAGGGGTATTCTTAAATACCCTCTCTCTGAGGCTTCATTGAAGGAATAAAGAGCAGTAGACAAGGGTACAGTGGTCATTGTAATCAGAAGAAAATCAGCTCACTCCCTCCTCTATTCCTGTGAAGATTCTTCTTTATTCCAAGAGATTTCCTTTCTCCTAAGATGCTTTAGGTGACACCTGACATTTTGATGAATGAATTGGACTTTAAGTTTAAATTTAGAGAAGCTTATGTTTTATTAATGTAGCCATAGATGTTTTAGGCTAGTACTTTGGCAGTTTGCTATTTCTACCCAAGTAGAAAAAAAATAATAAAGAGCCTTATCTGTTGGTATCAGTGAGTTATTTTGTTTGTCGGTTAATAATCACACTCAGCTAACTGGGAGAGATGATGATTGTGAAATAAATATTCTTCTCAGGGTCTCCAGAGTAAGTTATGGGATGTTCCAAGCTTCATCCTTGACATGGTTGTTTCACCTTTGAGTCATCTTTCAAAGTGGCTTCTCTGTGTCCCCACTGAGGGAGTTGACAGTGAAGAGTGTCTGGATTAGTTGAGAGTGTAAGTTAGCTGGCTTTGTAGCAGCAGAAATTATTTGAATGACCAAGTACTCACTGTTATCCTCTTAATTTTTAGACTTTGTTTGGGGTGGTGAAGATAAATGAGGTAATTGCAAACAGTGCAGAAATGATCTTTGTTTGGGATTCTCAGCCCAATCAGTGAGTTGAACAGATTTTACTCTCGACAAGTGACTTCTTGTGAGGAATTGTTTTAAAAAATCCTAAAGACCCCTGGGTCTGAGAGGGTCGGTTTGTATGTAACATTCAACTGATAATTAAGCTGTTGGTACAAACAAGCAGGTGGGAGGGTTGAATTCCTCTTCTCAGTAGCCACAGTCCTCCGATTCCACATTGCCTGTTTTTGAACCAAACCTCTGGGCAGTTTTCCTGCAGATTCCTTGGCTTCCCAGCTGCGAGTGTACCCAGAGCCCGGAAGGCATGTGGTCCACAGTAGTTGCTCAGTTAATATTGGGTTTTTAAAAAAATAGATTAAAAAAATTTTTTTTTATAGTGGTAGAAATCACATAACATAAAACATATTACTTTAACCATATTTAACTGTACGGTTCAGTGGCACTAAGTACATTCACATTGTTGTGCAACTCTCACCATCATTCATCTCCCAAATTGTTCACCTTCCTGAACTGAAACTCTGTTCCCATTAAACACTAACTCCCTATTTCCCCTCCCCACCTCCGCCCCCGGCCCCTGGCATCTACCAGTGTACCTTCCGAGTCTATGAATTTGACCGTTCTAGGTATCTCGTATAAGTGGAATCAAACAGTATTTGTCTGCACCTAATGTATATTGGAATTCATTTTTAAAGTTAACTTTAACATATGTCCTGCAAACAGATTGTACCTTCTTTCTTTTCCCCCCGCCCCGTGCTATAAGTTGGCCCTCATCAGCCATCTACTTCATACATAGTAGTGTACATAAGTCAATCCCAATCTCCCAATCCATCCTACCTGCCCCTACCCCCTCGGGTGTCCATATGTTTCTTTCCTACGTCTGTGTCTCTATTTCTGCTTTGCAAATAGGTTCATCTGTACCATTTTTCTAAATTCCACATACATGCATTAATATATGATATTTGTTTTTCTCTTTCTGACTTACTGCACTCTGTATGAGAGTCTCTAGGTCTATCCACGTCTCTGCAAATAGCGACGTTTCGTTCCTTTTTATGGCCGAGTGATGTTCCATTGTATATATGTACACCACATATTCTTTATCCATTCCTCTGTTGATGGACATTTAGATAGCTTCCATGTCCTGGCTAGTTGCTCAGTTAACATTTGTTGAATGAGTGAGTGGATGTGGCCTGAAACATCGACCGCTGGAAGAGAGAACCTTTGAATGTACCTTCATAGTGATCTGTATTATTTAATTATCTTTTTTGGCCGCTCTGCACGGCTTGCAAGATATTAGTTTCCCGACCAGGGATTGAACCCGGGCCCTCGGCAGTGAAAGCGTGGAGTCCCAACCACTGGACCACCAGGGAATTCCCTATTACTTAATTCTTTATGCAGACTTAGGTTAGGTTGGAATTGCTTTGCCCTTTCCTTATTCTTCCATGGTAAGTGTCATCCTTGGCTTTCTGAACCATAGACTACACCAGAATCCTTTTTTTTTGAATTGTCTTTAGTTTATTTAAATATAATGAATTACGTTGACTGATTTTCTAATATTAAATAATCTTGCATGCCTACAGCAAACCCTTATGATGTTTTTGTGTTTTTTTTTTTTAATTGAAGTATAGTTGATTTACAATGTTGTGTTAGTTTCTGGTGTACAGTAAAGTGATTCAGTTATACATATAACCTTTTTCATATTCTTTTCCATTATGGTTTATTACAGGATATTGAATAGAGTTCCCTGTGCTCTACAGTAGGACCTTGTTGTTTATCCATCTTATGTATAATAGTTTGCATCTGCTAACCCCAAACTCCCACTCCAATCCAACCTTCCCCCCTTCCCCTTCCTCCTTGGCAACCACAGTAGACCAGAATTCTCGATGGCAAAGCTTTGAGTTAGCCCAGGGTTTCTCACCTTCAGCATTACTGACACTTTTTTTTTACATCTTTATTGGAGTATAATTGCTTTACAATGGTGTGTTAGTTTCTGCTTTATAACAAAGTGAATCAGTTATACATATGTTCCCATATCTCTTCCCTCTTACGTCTCCCTCCCTCCCTATCCCACCCCTCTAGGTGGTCACAAAGCACTGAGCTGATCTCCCTGTGCTATGCGGCTGCTTCCCACTAGCTATCTACCTTACGTTTGGTAGTGTATATATGCCCATGCCTCTCTCTCGCTTTGTCACAGCTCACCCTTCCCCTCCCCATATTCTCAAGTCCATTCTCTAGTAGGTCTG